TTTTTTCGTAAAATGCAACACAAAATTCTGCTAAATGCAGGAAATCCAGTATATTACCACAGTCAAAACTCACTTTAATTCTTTCAAAATCCGTTCATGTTTTTTAATACCGTTCATGTTTTTAATAAAACAGAAATGATTATAACGTTTGGCGGTCACGCGCGAACACTTTAGCTGCGAGGAAGGAGTAAACGTATTACATAGCTCCCAGAAGAATAAAATCACCATTTTTTCAAGTAAAACGGTCTTTTTTATAGAGAGTTTTTGCACTAAACTCGGACGGATTTAAAAAAAAAAATTAAAAAAAAATTGGAGGTCGGGGACTTTTATCAGGTCGGGCGGGGACGCTAAACAAGTAATTTTTTTTATGTGGCCTAATGATGTGCTTCAGTGTTTACAACATAGCCATAGGAAAATAACAACACGCTGAGGCGAAGGCAACCAAGTTCAAATTTGGCAAATGTGCAGTTACTGACTACTGTTTTAAAATAATAACAATGAAACTAAACGTATTTCTCAGTTCCATAAATACGATAGTAAATTTATCGCTTTGCCTTAGCTGATGTGGTGGTATAGACCTAAATACGATAACACGATCTATATATAAGAATTACCTATAAACCAATTCAATTATTTTCAATCAGTGACAATTAATGTAAATGAATAATTTTGTGAATACTGCATCGGTAGAGACAAGTAGATTTTTAGTGCTCTTTATAATGAAATTAAACAGTTTGATTATAAAAAACATATACTGTAGTTTATGCATCACATGGCATGTGTCATATATTGTCAGTTTTGACCGAATACCAATAATTACAACTGAACCACCACGGTGATTACTTTTTAACAATGAATTTAAGGATAACACCGAAAATGCAAAATATGCATGGTGTGCTGTGCTGTGCTGTGCTGTGAAGCGAACGATAATGTAATTCTAAATTTGTATTCTTATCTGATTTTGAATTGATACTGATTTCAAATGACTAAAGCCATGTAATATTAATTATCCTGTGCCACTGTTAGGAAGTGCGAAGTTTTGAACGGAGGACGAATTCCGACGAAAATCCTAAGGGACGGACCATTTTTTTTTTTTTGGAGGGGGGGTGGAAAATTCTTAAAAAAATTGTTTGCGAAGGCAAAAAAGTGCAAATAAATTGTTTGCACACATAAAGAAGAGGAAAAAAATTGTTTGCAAGCTAATGAGATTATGCAACATCAACTAAAGTTTAATACAATGAACAGAGCGCTCACCGACATACCCAGGGTCTTCACCCCAAAAGCCCTGGGATGGGAGACGCTGGGCACATGTCACAATCTACATATGGGTTATAAATATTAATCTATTGAATACAGTCATTTTTTGGGTTATTTTTTTCTGTTCTTTTTTTGTATAAAATAGGTAATTGGACAAGTACTGGTGTAAGACATTGTGTGGCTTAAATAATGAGAGGACCATAACAAGGCCATTTTTAACATACAAGCCGGAAGGGGGGGGGGTGCAAATGTCCCCTTATGCCCCCCCCCCACAAAATCACATCCCTCCCAAGAAAAGTCCCTTTTTCCTAAATTTATACCTGAACAACCAGCAAAATATAACATATTGATAAACAAAAAGTAAGTTTTAGGCTTTGTCCTTGTTTAACAAAATCGATTTAAATTGTTATGTTTTTCTACCACTATAAGTAATGATAAATTATTGTTAATAATATGTTTATTTTTTGTGCGTTTTTTCCTTCTTTTATTTCAAATACAAGTTTAGAGCAAATTTAAATGCTCTTCTGGGCTTCAAATTTCAAAAATGTTCTGGGGGAATATGCCCCCAGACCCCGTGGCCTTCGGACATTCCTATCTCCCTCTAATATATTATCTCACAGAATGGTCCCTTTTCAAAAAATGCCCCCCTCTCCCACAGGAAAATCCTTAAAAAGGCCCTGACCAGTATACCTGTTGAGTTCAATATAAAACTGTATGTTATCCAAATATTAGTATGACGTAATACTGAGAGACAAATGCATGATGGGATTGTTGTGTTGTTAGTTGAACTTCCTCGTGAAAGTAACTTAAGGCCTGTTTAAACGGATCCAACATTGTTGGACCAACATCATCCAACAATGTTACTATACTAGATATGACTGCTTCTCTTTCAAATCTTTTTGGTTAGATAAGCTTTACTCAAACCCTAAACCTAGTCTTGACAAAATATTTGAAAAAGAAGCCGTTTGAGCCATTATTTCAACAATGTTGGATGATGTTGGCCCAACAATGTTGGATCCGTTTAAACAGGGCTTTACTGTACAAAACTACATTTGTAATAAACGTGAAAATAAAGAGTGATTTCATTACAAATACGGTGTTCTAAAGTCATGGCTTCAACAGGTTATGGGCCCAGCAGAGAATCACGCTGGTCAAGGTTGACTTTCGATGGAAACGAAAGCAATTACGAACTGTGGGAAGCAAAATTCCTCGCGTACATGAGGTTATTAAAACTAAAGGATACTATCCTGCCGTCTGAAGAAGAGGCTGACGCAACAAAGAACGAAGAATGCTACGCCGAGCTTCTACAGTGTTTGGATGACACCAGTCTGTCATTGGTAATGAGGGATGCTACCGACGATGGCCGAAAGGCTTTACAAATACTCCGAGACCATTATGCAAATCAAGGCAAACCAAGAATCATCACACTCTACACTGAGCTAACGTCACTTGAAAAAGCACTTCACGAGACAGTCACAGATTACTTAATAAGAGCCGAGAAAGCAATAACAGCGCTTAAGAACGCCAAAGAAACGTTAAGCGATGGGCTAATAATTGCTATGATCCTAAAGGGGCTGCCTGATTCATATAAACCGTTCTCGATACATGTGACCCAAAGTGCAAGTGAGATAACGTTCGCGAAGTTTAAGAGCATGTTGAGGAGCTTCGAAGAAACGGAAAAGCTCAACACCAAACCGAGAGTTGATCAGGTAATGAAAGCTGAGTTTCCTTCGCAAACAATGACATGTTATGGCTGCGGGAAAAGAGGGCATTTAGTCAGAGAGTGCCCTGCTAAGAGCGAGAGGAAGTGGTGTAACTATCACAAAAGTACAACACACTCGGATAGCACCTGCAGAAGTCAGCAAAAGAGCAAAGACCAAGCCAAACGGGTGTCGGAGAAAGAAAACACCTCTAAAGATGAACATTCATTTGCATTCAAAGTTAACGACGAAGCAACAGGGAAAATCAATCGAATGGGAATGTTGGTTGACACAGGTTCCACTTCTCACATTGTTACTACTGATATTTTAAAGCAAATAGACATGACATTTAAACCATCAAAACATTACATCAACTGGCTGATGGCACACGAGCCAGTAATATTGCATTGAAACGAGGGGATGCTGAAGTGTTTTTGAAAGATACAAATGGAAAATGTGTGAAAACGGTGCTGAAAAACGCCTTATATATACCATCCTATCCTCAAGATATTTTCTCAGTGAAGGCAACCACATCAAATGGAGCCGAGCTTCGATTTGCCCAAGATACTGGTGAGCTAACCCTTGAAGATGGTACCATTGTTGAAATTGAAGAACATGGACGGTTGTACTATTTGACTTCCATAGACAGTCATGAGAACGATAGCGTAAGTGAAGTAGATAAAGTAAATTTCTCGTATGATATTAACACATGGCATGAAATCCTAGGGCACTGCAATTTTGAAGATATTATAAAACTACAGGGGGTAGTTAAGGGCATGAAATTCTCAGGTAAAATTGAGTCATCTAAGTTAGGTTGTAATACATGTGTAGGAGGAAAATTTGTAAACAGCAGGAGTAGGATTCCTGATGCAAGATCTCAAAAATCATTGGAGAAAGTGCATGTGGATTTGGCAGGTCCAGTTTCTCCTGTATCAAGAGAGGGGTTTAAGTACTGCATAGCTTTTACTGATGATTTCTCAGGAGCAGTATTTGTTTACTTTCTGAAATGTAAAAGTGACACCTTTGTAACAACAGAGAAATTTCTAGCAGACATCACTCCTTATGGCAAGGTAAGTTGCATCCGTTCTGACAATGGCTCAGAATTTACAGGTAAGGCGTTTCAAACACTACTAAGGGAGCGTGGCATAAAACATGAAACTTCTGCTCCCTACTCGCCACACCAGAATGGCACCGCCGAAAGGCACTGGCGCACATTGTTCGAAATGGGCAGATGTCTTCTTCTTCAATCAGGGTTACCCAAAGCTCTCTGGCCCTATGCAATTCAAACCGCAGCTCACATTAGGAATAGATGTTTTAATAAGAGAACAAAGACAACACCCTACTTTAGCCTTACTGGGAAAGTACCTGATCTTTCTAAAATGTGGATCTTTGGATCTGAATGTTTTGCTTACGAACAGGAGCATAAGAAATTAGACTCAAGATGCAGCAAGGGGGTATTTGTGGGATACGACAAAAATAGCCCTTCTTACCTAGTGTACTACCCCAAAAATGGGAAAATCATGAAACATCGACTCATTAGATTCATCAAGAAATGTAGTGTAGAACAGCACACACAAACTGATGAGTCCAGCAGGGATTGTGATGTACATGAGAAATCTGACCATGATACTAGATCAGACTTAAATAGTATGAGCCTCCCTGTTTTAAGTGCAATGCCGCCAAATACAGTGCCTGATGAGGAGCCTAGGGATAGTGAGGGAAGGCATTGCAACCATACTGAGAATGACAGTGAGACAAAACGGTATCCTCAAAGAGAAAGGAACCCTCCCAGATACTTAGAAGAGGACACCCTCCTCCCTAAGAATGCCGATTGTGCTACAAAGTTTGTGGATTACCACAAAATTACACAGAAGCCATGGGATCACCTCAAGCTAGGGAGTGGGAGCAAGCAATGAAGGAAGAGATCAGCTCTCTGAAGGAAAATGATACTTACGAATTATCAACTTTACCAGAAGGTAAAGCTTCAGTAGGGGGAAAATGGGTGTACACAACCAAACAAGATCAGAATGGCATAGAGTCCTTTAAGGTCAGATATGTAGCGAAGGGTTACAGCCAGGTAAAGGGTATAGATTATCAAGAAACGTTCGCCCCGACAGCCAGTATTACTTCAATTAGGGTCTTAATGCAGTTAGCAGTAAAACATGATCTTATTGTCCACCAGATGGACGTTAAAACTGCATATCTGCATGCCCCCATTACTTAAGAGTTATACATAGACCAGCCACAAGGGTTTGAAGAGGTTTCAGAGAGTGGTGAGAGGTTAGTATATAGGCTAAAGAAATCGCTATATGGTCTAAAACAATCAGGTAGAAATTGGAACATATTGTTACACGAGCATTTAGCAAATGACGGTTTTGTCAGAAACCATGTTGATCACTGTGTATATAAGAAACAAGTTGATGATAAAATTGTTATCGTCATTGTTTGGGTTGATGACCTAATCATAGCTTCAGATAGTATGCAGTTAATGGAAGAATTTAAAAAAAGTATGAAGATACAATTTAAGATGAAAGATCTAGGTAGAATCACTTTCTTCCTTGGAATGGATTTTAAGCAAAGCAAGGGTGAAATAAAAATTAATCAGAAAAGATTCATTCTTAAAATACTAGAGAGATTTGGAATGATAGACTGCAAGCCCAGGTTAACCCCATGTGAGCAACGATTAGAATTTAACTGTGGTAAATTGACCAACGCCAGACAGTATAGAGAAATGATAGGAAGCCTAATTTATGCCATGACCTGTAGAAGGCCTGATTTAAGTTGGATTGTAAGCAGACTGTCTCAAACTCTGTCAAACCCCAGAACGGGAGATTTAATTGCTGCCAAACATGTCCTAAGGTATCTAAAGGGTACCGTGGATTATGAACTCTGCTTTAAGAAATCTGATGCTGACTTGTAGCTCACTGCTTATAGTGATTCAGATTGGGCCTCTTGCCTGGAAGACAGGCGAAGTACTACAGGTTACTGTTGTACTCTAACTGAAGGAGGACCACTGATTTCATGGAAGTCGAGAACGCAACCAACGGTTGCCATTTCCACTTGCGAAGCTGAATATGTAGCTTTAGCAAATACAGCTCAAGAGTGTTTGTATCTAACTCAATTGTTAAACGGTATGTATAAGAAAGTACATCAGAGTATGAAGCTCCAGTTAAATATTGAAGACCTGAAAATTAAGAATAACCAGCACGCGTTTACTCAACATCGAAGCACAGTCTCTGCGTTAATATCAACTACCCAAACCTGGTTTAATGCCACTGATTGTTCAAAAACAGGCAAAATGGGGGTTCATGCGGCCTTCATTGACTTTCGTAAGGCCTTCGACCTTGTGGATCACAATATTCTTTTGAACAAATTAGCAGCTATGAACATAAATAAACCCTTCTGGTTATGGGTTAAAAGTTTCCTTTCCGGAAGAGTTCAACAAGTAAATCTCAATGGTACCTTATCATCCATTGCAACATGCCCGGTCGGAGTCCCGCAAGGCTCTGTAATATCTCCCATTCTTTTTAATACCTACATTGATGATTTGGAGGACGCCTTACCAGAACAACTAAAAGTCAGTACGAATAAGTATGCAGATGACTGCACACAACACCAAATAGTGAGCGTAGATTTTAATAGTAATTTACAACAATCTATCAATGAAGTAAATAACTGGGCGGTGTTAAATAAAATGGCAATTAATGCTAAAAAAACTAAGGACATGTGGATCTCGTTCACGGACGCTATACCTGAACCACCACGTCTTCGTATTGGAAATGAGTTAATAGAAAGGGTCAACGCTTTTAAATTACTTGGCGTGTCGTTCCAAAATAATCTAAAATGGAACGCACATGTTGAAGAGATTACACGTAAAGCAAATAAACGCCTTTACCATCTTAGAGAATGCAGGAAATCGCAGTTACCAGCTGAAGTCGGTATTATTACCTATCAATCCAAAATAAGACCAATTCTCGAGTATGCATCACCTGTCTGGGCGGGACTCCCTAATTACCTGCGAGATGAAATAGAGCGGGTTCAATCCAGGAGCTTAAGAATCCTTGGCCTGGAAAAAGATTACCTACCACCGTTGAACGAAAGAAGGGAAGAGGCAACTAGTCGAGAAGTTGATAGGTTTATGAACGATCCACACCATCCCTGTCGCAGTGTTTTGCCAAAATTAATTAACAATCAGTACAATTTAAGGAACATTGACCGGAATCGCAATATATCATTCTTCTCCGGAACTGAAAGGCATAAACATTCATTTTCAGGTAGAGCTTGTAAATATGTATAAATAGTTTTAACTTATTAGAAGAACTTATTAGATTAAAGAATTTATTAGTTTTAACTTCTTAGTTAGTTTTCTAAATTATCTTACAACAATTTGTAATATAAAGACATATCCGCAGCATATATACTTTCTTAAACAAGTAATTGTAAGTCCATTGTACTTTTTTATCTTAAGATGGATGAATAAAGCTATTATTATTATTATTATGTGTCAGACTGTCAATTTATTAAAAAAAAAAGTTTTGAGTCAACACCAATAATTACAATAACCACCACGGACCACGGTGATTATTTTTAACAATAAAGTTTAAGGATATTAAACACTGAAAATGCAAAATATGCATGGTGTGCTCACAGGCGGCCCAATCTCAGAATGAATGATCAGGTGTTGCGGGTTTTTAACGGTTTTTATAAACAAATTTATAGTCAACCAAAACTATTTTAAATTAAAACATTCTTAAATTAGTCAAATAAATACATTTTAACAATAAAATATAGTTGACATGATAGTATAACACCTTTGCATTCTTTTAATTACTCCATGAGCTCATTTAGAGCGGTTGATGTAACATTTTCTGTGGCCTACATTGTGTGTGCTCTTCTATATATAATATAACAGTAAAAGGCTAATCACTGGCGGCACGACCGCATCGCCTTCAATGTCAAATATCTCCGCTCAAACTTCTCGTACGCCAAAACAAATTCGATTACATCGTTTCACAAAGATTTCTCTTTCTAAAGAATATGGTTTGATCGTAGTTTGGGCAAATTTAGCGACAAACGGAACCAAAATCTCCTCAAATTCGGATACTGTTCAAAATACTTAGGGCTGCTCGGGCACGATCGTGGACGTGACGTAATCAATACATACTGACAATAACGCCTTACCGCCTTACGTGGGGTGGGACAGCATCAAGCCAGAGGAGGAATGAGGGTCTTCCCGAAATGCAACGCGCGAATCAGTGCGGCTCATTATTATTCAAGCTATTTATTCTCAACGCGCCGTTCGATTAAAAACTGTTGAAATATATTGCGATTTTTGCCGTGAAGATCTCGTTTTCTCAAAGGTATGTTTCGATAACCTTTTTGTTCAGTTATTTAATAAAAGAAGTTTTGAATAATTTTGTATATATATCGCATTTTACTTATATTAAATTCCGATTGTATTTATGCATGTTTTGGGTGTTGGAAAAGTGGCATTGAAATATTCTGGAGTAAATTGTACTTTTTTACAAGGAAACTAAAATAAAATTACATCAGTGAATTCAGGAATGTTTACTCTTTATATTGATACTTTAAAACATGAATTTACTCCATAAAACCGAAGAGTTATCGCGGTTTGAAAATGAGCTATTTTTGCTATATTCGATAATTAGCAAAA